TTTGTTGATAGTAAAAGAACAATTAACCGGAGGAAGGGTCGCTGGAAACCATTTGGCTGAATTCGGAATTATGAAGCTACGCAAAATAAGACAAAAGAGCATAAGTAGATAATAATGGTTCTACATGTCGTCAATTAAAAATAACTTTCAATTTATTTAAATTTTGCTCAAAACTGTACAAAAATAAATTTAAACAAAACGCCACAGAGTATACGAGTATATAATGATAGAGTATTTTAACGGTATAAACTGTAGGTCCCCCCATTTGTTGGTAAAACTTCAAGACGAAAAACTACAAATTGGAGGAGGAGCTCGGCCAAAAAATCGCTACAGCGGTAACAAAGCGCCAATTATATATACATATATATATAATTTTACTTTAAAATAAAACTTTATTAAAAAAAAATTTTAAAATTTCGAATCAAGTTGACGAAATTGATTTTTTTTTTTAATAAATTAAATTTCAATTTAATTTTTTTAACCCGCCTGATAGAGTTGAGCAAATCTCCTCAATAAATTTCTTGAGTAAAAATTCTAAGTTTTTAAGTTACAAATAAAGAAGTAATAATAAATACCATAAAAAATACTAAATATTAACAATAAAGTAAAGCCTTCTCTGTAAAAAAGTTACTAGATAAAGGGGTGTTCAAGCGTTGAATAGTATAAAACCTGGTGTAAAGTGTAGACTGATAGTTTCTAAAAAAACTAATAGCAAAATGCGAGATATAAAGAACGGTGTAATAATATTTGTAAGAGTGTTTTATAGACGGAGTGTAGGCATCTAGTGGGCTACAGTGATAGTCAGCATTTCAATAGATTTTTTTTTTTTTTTTTTTGTTAAGTAAAGTGCAGAATTTGTGATTGGTTTTTGGTTATTTTTGTGTATAGTGTTGTGTTATGGCTCTATACTAATTTGCTTCGCAGAGCAAATGTGCAAAACAGAGGAGTGTAAAAATAAAGCCAAAAATAGAAGAGAGTGTATAGAACAGTGTTGAGTGAATGTGTGTGTGAGGGAAAGTTTTTTTTTTAAATATTAGCAAATATAATATGAGATAAGAGGCATACTATTTTTATTTTCTTTTGGTTTAATTATTATTATTTTTTTTTTTGTTTGTTTTACTCATTTCTACGCAAAACATTTGCAACTATGCTTACCGGCTTTGCTTTTGGCTTCTGTTTTGCCTGACGCTTCTGCTTCAACATATTCCAACGCCACAAAACTGAATATTGTGGAATTTTTGCAGCTATATAAACTTGTCGTTAGCAGCAGCAGCAACAACAACAACAACGACAACAATAATAACAACAGCACCAATAAAATAGTATTAAATGCTTGTGCGAGTATGTTGAACAGCGCTGTTTGTCTGCCGCCGTTGCTGCGCTGTATGACGCTTGTCGTTAGCGTGCTGAAGATGATGTTGAATTTTGTTGTTGTTGTTGCTATTGAAGATGATAATGATGACGATGATGAGGGCACCGCTTGCAAACGACTTGTCTCGTATCAACTATGAACAACAGTTATCATCAATTTCGCTAAGCTGCTTTGCATATATGTGAGTAAGTAAGTAGTTGTCTTCGCTTGGACGTCAGCTAAATATGTAGATATGTAGGTAGTTAGGATATTTGCTGCACCGTTGTGTTGAAAAAAAAAATAGTGCACAGCACCACAAAGGAGCTCCAATGTTAATTTAGTTCCTCACTGCACTTCGCAGTTCTCTGTTACTTTTTTTTTCGTATGTTGCTTTTTTACTTATCACTTTTACGTTGTTTTGTTTTTGTTTATCTTTTTTCCCCCCTCTGTACCACTTTTCATTTATACTCTTAGTTGTTTTTGTGCACTTTTACACATGCATTTGGTACATACATATGTATAATTCAGTTGACAGCATTTGTTTTTGTCGCCACAGTTCTTTTCGTTTTTTTATGGCATCGCTGTATCGCTGTAGTTCTTTAGTGCAGCAGTCGCGATCAAAGGGAGAGTAAAATGGAAATAGTAAATATTTTTGTAAAAAAAAATAGTATGGTATATTTGTTGTTGTGTAGTTTTTGGTGAAATCTGTGAAACTTGTTGCTACGTGTTCCTATGGCAAAGCGCTGAAACGCTGCGCCTTAGCGCCAGTTTTAGGAAAAAGAGATTTCATTGTATAGATGTGTTCTGTGTTTTTCTGTTTTTATGTTGTTTTAACATCTGCAGTAGTGTTCATTACTTTTTTGCACGTTCAACAGCCATCAGGCGTTGATTGCATTTAGTTACACATTTCTGTACTCCTTTGCTGCTTGCAACGTTTTGATGTGAAATTATTTTAAAAAAAGTTTACTGTTTTTTAACTATTTTTGTTTGCCAACTTTTTTAAATTACTGTTCTTCAAAATAAATAATTTAAATTACAGTATTTATGCTATTTGGCGCATAAAAATTTGACAAAATTTTCGAGAAAATTTCATAAACACTTCATAAATTGGTTTTTTAAACCAACAACGAACTTTTATTGATCTTCATATTTTATCTGAAGTAAAAATTAATTTCGTCGCGGTCTTCTAATGGCAGCATATCTCTGAATTTATTTATAATTTTTAATTAATTTATTTATTTACTTATTAATTTATTTATTATTTCTTTTTTATTCAATATTTTTCTTTTTTATATATTTTATTACTACTTTCTCTTTATTTTGTTCCTTTTGTTTTTATTTATTTTTTTAATAATTTTTCTTAGTATTATTTTATTGAGTTTTGTTTGTGCACCAATTTTCCTTCATTAAATGTTACTCATACGCCGTGTTATAAGTGCTGCTTAGATTGCTTAATACAAAATTTTAGAAATTAAAATTTCTCGCGTTAAAATTTTTCACCATTTTCGTGTTTTAAAATTAACTGCAGCCTAATTCGGCGTTAAAATTTAATTTTAAATTTATTTATTTACTATTTATTTATAACTAAATGTTACTCATACGCCGCGTAACACTCAGTTCTAGTGTAGTACTTTAGAGGAATATTTTAGTAATATATATTTTACGTATACAATTTTTTCAAATTACTTTTCATTATTAAACGAATTTCAGCTTAATGCGATGATAGAGACTTGACCCTTTTGTTTCTAGTTTTTTCATAATTCCAGTGAGTGTTACTAATATTGCGGCGTGACACTCAGATTCACTCATAAACATTACTCAGAGGAAATCTTTAAATTATTTCAAAATTTTTTAAAACACTTTTAAATAGCAAAACTTATTTCGGCTTAAGCCGATGTAAAAATTCCTCATTTATTTACTATTATTTATATTATAGTTCTGGATTGAAATAATTGTTACTCATACGTAGCGTCAGAAAATACAGTCAGGAGGCTTAAACAAAACAAACTTTTTTAAATCAACATTAATCGCATTTACTCCTCACACTTTATAATTATAATGTATTTTAGCTAAATTTGATGTTAAAATTTAATTTAAATCTTTTTTTTAATTCTTTTCGATGTTCGACCTCAAATTGAATATTACTCGTAGGCTATGTGATATTCAGATGCAATGTAATTCTTTGGCGGAGAATTTTAGCAATCAACATTTTTCGTCTTACAATTATCCATACCACCTTTCAGTAATTAAATTAATTTCGAATCCAGTCGATCTTACAATTTTTCAATTTACTCAACATAATAAATTTTTCGCCGTAGTGAATAAAAATAAAAGTTACTCATACGCCTCAGGGAGCACAGACCACATATTGTCTTATCTAATTTTTTAGTGCAATTAATTTTATTAAACAGTTTAAGTTTTACAATCTCCTTTTGTATGATCACAAATCAATTAGATAACACTTTACTAGTATTTTTGATTTTTTTTTTCAGAGAATATAGCATTCAATAATTCAATAAATTAGCCAAAAATACGGCGAACACTGGTTGGTGGTGAATACTTTCGTTTTATTTATATTTTTCCAACTTTTTTAACTCCTTTTATAATATTTTTAGTATAATACAGAATGTTACGCATACCACACGTTGCACTCAACTTGTTTTTACTGAGCTCGGAAGAATTGGAGGATTTAAAAACAAAAATTTTAATTTAACATTTTTGAAAAAGGAAGAATTTGGACTCACATTTGTTGAAATATTACTCAAACCCTGAGGTACACTTTGAAGTTCTAGTAACTTTCACCCCAAGTTATTCAAACAGTTCACCAATTTTCACGCTTAAATTATAGTTTCCTTTTCATATTACTTTCTGCTTTGAAAGAAATATGAATTTCATTCAATATTTAAGAAAAAATGTATAAAAATAGAAATAAAAATAATAAAATATTTTTTATTTCCCTCAACACGGCGTTCAATTAAATATTGCTCATACGCCATGTGGCACTCAGGCACGAGCGACGCTTTGCACGGCGCACAGTTGATGCAGAAACGGGACAACACAATTGTTTTTCGTTAAGTTAATTTACAATAACACAGATTTTTTTAGTTTCTTTCACACAAAAAAAAAATATAAGGCTACACAACGAGTCAATAAATTGATGAGGGAAAAATATTTGCTAACGCGAATATTACATTTTTTTTATAGTTGTTTTCTTTAGTATTTTTTTATCATTTTTTATTTCAGGTTTTTATTTAAATGTTAAAAGCTTGTAAGTAATTGTTATATTTGTCACAAAACATTATTAGCAGTTTATATTTGTTACTTTTCACAGAGTACGCATGTATGTGTGTATAGGTTAAAAAAAACATATTTATAAACATAATGGCAGACAATAATTTTTTTTATACAATGAAATACCTTTTACCTGTCGAACAAACATTAAGTGTTAATGTTTAATGCACTTTATTCAGGTCATTGGGAGACGTTCTATTCGAAATCTGCTTCCTGAATAGTAGCATGTTTTTGTTAATATTTTTTTTTTTATTTGATAATTTGTATAAAAGTTCAACAGCTATTGGTTGGAGCCTAGTTTATTACTAGCAAAATCTGTAAACAAATTTATATGCGTATACATTTCACAAAGCTTTACCTTTTTTGGCTTCTTCACGGAGACAGTGCGCGAGTACTGATGATACACCTGCACATGATTCGATGTGAATTTACCCAACATTTGTTTGGCGGTTTCGTTTTGTGCGCGCTTCTTTCGTTCTCACAGTTAAATGCAACAGCGTGTGTGTTTGTAGAAAGAATCTGTAGGTGAAATTTAATGAAAATTTAATTAGTATATATATAAGTGTGAGAAAATTTGCAAATAATATAAAGAGAGAAAAGCCTATAAAAAATATATATTTGATTAAATCTACAAATTAAGCGCGTATTATTGTTTTCGTAATATTATATAATTTTAATTCATTTTCATACAAAAAGTTACTCATACGCCCTGTTGCCTTAACGCGTAGTAAACATATTTTTATTCCATGCCCCGTCATTATGCCAACAAATGTATCGATGTATCCTAATACTTTCCATTTCACTCTGTTCCGGATTGCACCCGCCTCTTCCAGGGACTTTTGTACATCCTATTTCGGTTCGTCAGTAAGACGGATGGTAATTTTGACAATCTCATTAGCAACATCGGCCGCCCTGATGGGGGTAACTATTAAGTGCTGCTGTTGAAATAGTTCTTAGCGCCCCTGGTATGTTCAATGCAGCGAGGCGGAGTAATAATAATATAAATTAATCTGTTTATAAACAATAAGTTCAAACCTCGGAAACGTTTTGATTTCCACTCATAGAGATAAAAAAAATGTAAATACATCCGAGAATATAAACTAACAGTAAGAGATTTAGGGAAAGGTATAGCAATAATATCAGTGGAATGATACCTCATTTCACGTTCTCATATATTGATGAGTGTGCATTTGTCGAGTCCGACATCAACACCAAATCTAATGCGATTGGAAAGACGACGTTCATCCAAAATGTTTTAAATGTCTACTGCCTAAATACATTTACCTTACATTGACATTTTGACCACGTCTGTGTTTCTTCAATATTGGAAGTCAGCAAATAGGAAATCTAATAGAGACTTCAAACCCATCGCAATACTACCTTTTTTATCTAAAGTACTTGAACGCATTATGTATGCTCAAATAAATTCTTTCCTAAATCGAAACATGCCGACGAATCCGGCGTTAGATCTAACAGGAGTTGTATAACAGCGTTAATTAGAGTTTCGGATGACTTTAGGCTCAACATATACAAATATCGAGTAAGCTTTTGATGCTGTGAACCATGAACTGCTAGCTTTGAAACTTAGCAATTTGTTTCATTTCTCATTGACAGCAACATACTTAATAAAGTGATCGTGCATGTCAAGTTAACGTTTTATCAAACCATTTCCACGTATCTAAAGGCGTTACACAGGAATCTGTTCTTGGGCCTCTGTGGTTTGTTTTAGATGTTAACGATCTTCAAAGTTTATTTAAATACTCTGACAATCATTTATACACAAATAATGTTCAATCAATGGCATGATTCGTCCTTTATGGACTATTCAGAATTTCCCACCATTAAAAATTCGATTGACTGACCTTACTGTATGCTTGCGAAATGTTTGCCAGCTGTGACAGTCTGTGTTGTAGTAAACTCAATGTCCTCTACACAAGATCATCGCCAGATACGTATTTATTATTATTTTCCATAAAATTCAACGATTCGAAGTTAAAGTGCTTAATGTTACTTCACAAAGTTGATAGCTCTCAGGAGCCCAAATATCTTTTAGAACGAGTTCAATTCACTAGAACTACCCGCTACATTAACTTACTGCCCATTCGGAAAAATTTAGTAAACCAGTTAGTGCTCGAACAGCTAGAAGAAGACTTCTGGAAGCGAGTTTAAAAGGATGTAAAGCCCGAAAAAAGCCGTGGCTCCCAGAAAAGATTAGGAAAAATCGTTAGGAATGGACTCGCCGAAACCAACATTTCACGGAAGAAGATTGCTCGAATGGTCTGCGGTCTGATGAATCAAACTTCGAGGTAAGCTTAGTTAAGATCGTCTTAAAATATTAACAGCCATAGCTTCTTGCCCTAGAGCAACTTTGAAAAGATAATACAAATCTTATGAAAACATTATTTTTTCTTTTCAGCAGATATTTGGAACACCTTGTGTGACGTTCGTGAGAAGACGAGTTGGGGAAGTATATTAACCAGATTGCGTAGTACCCACTGTTAAGCATGGAGGCGGCAGTATTTTGATCTGGGCTGCATGGCTGCTCATGGTGGTGTTGGCGAAATGTTCGTTTGCGAGGGTCGCATGGACAGTCAAAAGTACATAAATGTATTAGAAGTTGTTCTTCTGCCTTCGTTAACGCGCATTTTCGGCGATACTAATTTAGACGGGGTTCAATTTCAGCAAGACAATGCTCCTTAAAACAAATCAGCGACTACGACGCGTTGGTTTAGAGATAACAACATTGTTTTATTAGATTGGACTGCAGAGTCTCCAGATCTTAATCCCATCGAGCATATATGGGCTATTTGGTAACGAAAGATTAGGGAACACAGTGTAACATCAAAAACTGCCTTAAAGAATGCGTTAATTAACCACTGGTACGCTATAAGTGCAGTCGATTGTGCAAAGCCTGTGGTCAGCATGCCTAAGAGAACTGCTGTCGCCATTAAATCGAAGTTTGGACCTACTAAATATTAATTTTATTATTACGTATTCATGGTATTTTCACTTCATTACTTCACTTGTTAAAACCAAAAATTCAGTAATTAGTATGGTGCCTAATACTTTTGGCCAAGGCTGTATCTATAACAGAATTAAACTGAGTGACAATCAATTTACATATCTGTCCACTTATGAGTGCTTAACGGTGTTATCAATGCAAAAGCAATATAAACTGAACAAAAAACAGAATTAAGAAAAAAATCAAATAAAGAATAATGAGAATAAAACTCAAGTACGTCAACAAGTTTGACAAAGGACAGACGTAAAACCGTCAAAGTAGATTTAAAAGTCAAAAAGAAAACAACAACTCACAGTAAATATGTATAAGCTAACATCAACGCAGCCGGATTATCCAGCAATCAGTAAGCAGTAAGCAGCGCTGCCGATTGAAGTCTGCTGCTGTGAGTCGGTATATCATGCAAGTCTTCCTACATTTGGGCGCTGCAGTGTTGGGTGTTCATTTTTTATGCCTCTTGTCTGTTGCTGAGCGTTTAAAAATTATGGGATTTTAAATAAGTGACACTTAGAGCCCCCCAAAACGCTACCAAAATCAATAAACCAAAGCAGATTAAACGCTGATATAAACATTACTGAAAGATTCGCTACAAGTAAGTACAGAAATAGCAATGCTTAGATAAATTGCTATGTCGCCCAAGCTGAGTGACGTCAATAAGTTAAGTGCGTTAAGTAAGACGCGGATGCGAGTTATGCCAAAAAGGGAGTGCCAAAAACAGGCAACGATTGAATTTTATGCGGTAAAATTACATTTGATGCATAGAATTGTTGCTAACACTAAACACAAAATGTTGATAAACATAAAATGTGGCTAAACAAAAAATATTGCTAATGTGGCTAAGCATAACATGTTACTAAGCCGGAAATGTTGCTAAACTTGTTGTCCAGCTGGTTAAAAATATTGCTAAACATAAAATATGGCTAACAAAAAAATATTGCTAAACATAAAATATGGCTAAACAAAAAATATTGCTAAATGTAGCTAAGCATAAAATGTTACTTAACGTGAAATGTTGCTAAACTTGCTGTCCAACTGGTTACGGCATTTTCGTGAATCAAAAAATATTGCTAAACATAAAATATGGCTAAACAAAAAATATTGCTAAATGTAGCTAAGCATAAAATGTTACTTAACGTGAAATGTTGCTAAACTTGCTGTCCAACTGGTTACGGCATTTTCGTGAATCAAAAAATATTGCTAAACATAAAATATGGCTAAACAAAAAATATTTCTAAACATAAAATATGGCTAAACAAAAAATATTGCTAAATGTGGCTAAACAAAAAATATTGCTAAACATAAAATATGGCTAAAAAAAAAAATATTGCTAAATGTGGCTAAGCAACGCGCTAAAGTTGCTGTCCAACTGGTTACGGCATTTTCGTGCATCAGGGCAAACAAACAACTTAAGAATTTACACCTCCTTAGAACCACCTTATGGAATCCTGAATCTAAGGATAGTAATTATAACCGAAGCAAGATCTGCAAGGCAATCGATAAAAACTACCAAAGAACCATGTCAGGCCGCATAGAGGGCTAAGAAATGCGACACCTACAAAGTTCATATCTCTGGAGTTGCGACAGAAGTCATGAGATAAGGAACTCATCCTTCTACAATGTATCCCTACGAGACAGTATCCGGTTACTCTGCCAATTTTTACTCTCGTTGAGATCTTTTTCAGAAAGAGTAGTAGCCTACGTTTCTTCTCTTCGACCATTCTACTATTGAAGGAGGTATACCCATGTCATGTACCGAAGCTTCGCTTATACACATGGTTTCCTTTGTGGTGGTATGATTGTTTTAAAGAATTAAATTTCTTCTTATTAAGTTTGGCTTGGCTATCAGAATATATTGTATTGGAGTTCAACTTGGACAGGAAGTATCTTGCTTATTTCGATTACGAATGAGGCTGAGTGATCTCCACATCCCACCTTGTCGTTAAGTTTTGAGCCGTCGGTGCAGACAGCTACGAATCTTTGAAGTAAACTATGTAATTTCCCATTCAATCCTCTCTGCACTTCTTGTTAAAAAAGCGTTATCGAAATAGAGTAAAGTAGTTCACCTCTTGATGCAGAATTTAATAGGTTTATCTAGGGTTGAGCAATATTTAGCCATTCTTTAAGTCTGACGGAAGATTATTAAGCAAAGTATCAATGGCTTCCAACTATCTAATTCCTTTAATTTCGGTCGCTCCTCGGCAGGAAATTTCTGGTCCTCCGCGTGTATTTCTGATATCAAACAAAATTCATCTGAAAAATCTATCGGCCGTTCGAAGGTGACTTAGAATAAACTGGAAACTGCACACAGGGTTAACTGTGAGAGACTAAAGAATAGCTGAGAGAACTCAAACTTAAGGGACTCCATCTTCTGGTACATCTGGGTATGTATGTGCCTCCCAATTTAGCAGAGATGAGATCGCTAATATATTTCCCAATTTATTTCTCAGTAAAAAAAATACTTTTCTCTGATAAAAATATTGCGATAAAAACCTGAATCAAT